TTTAGCAAATAATAAATGGTTCTACTTTATTAGCCCCCTCCCGCAAAAGCCCACGCAGTGTTTATCACTGCCCCCTTCTACTCATGAGGAAACAAAGTGATTCCTATTTACATCACAAAGTTAGGGTAATATTCGATCTTCAACCTACTATTCAGATTCCTGATTCTTTGTTTCTCCACCACACACACAGCTGCTGAACAAGTAAATAGTTTGCAGCCCAACATGTTTTAGGGTACTTTACCCCTCTGCATCTCCTTTCTTTAAAAGCTGCTCTCCACCAGCCACTGCTGAGGAGGCTGGTGAGGTAGCCAGATTTATACCCCATGACACTTCTGGACACAGCTGATTGGCCTGGGGCTGGCCACCTCATGGAAGGTCTGCTGATTGGCTGGCCAGTAACCAATCAGATTCAGATTCAAACTTGAAATTTTGAACTCCGAGAACCAGGAGCCACAGTCCATTGGTGGCAGTTGTCTCAACTGAAAAGCCATGTAGTCTGGTCCTGACAGAGCAATAGCAGGTGAACGGGCTGCTGTTATAAGTGAACAGGAAGGGAATGGAGGTTGGTCTGCAGTGAGAAGACTGCAGGGGGGCTTTAAATCTATATGGTACACCCAAGAGAGAGACAGAGAGATGATCTGGCTTGTGCCGACTTTCTGGTTCCCAGCTCCTGTGAGGCTGGGATGCCCCTCGCATCCTTGGGTTCAGGGAGATTTCCCTGCATCCTTTCAGTAGTCTCTTGAGCAAGTCTGAGTGGATTTCTGTCCTCTGCTCACTACTCAGTTGGTACCAAAGCATTGATTTTGGAGGAGACTGAGATGTGCAGACTCCCCAAGGCTCAGTTTTGTCACCTGTACAATTTCTCACCTGGGTGGACCAGCGGAGCTCAAAATTCCTTGCCAGCATGATTTGATGCTAGTCCTATAGCTATGTGCCCCTGAGGAAGTGTGAGAACTCCCAGGGTTATCATGCTGATACCAGGATAGAAACGAAGACTCAGAGAAGGAAAGGTGAGGCAGGAAAACAATGAGCCATCTGTTGACTCATATCCTCACATCCTCCCCCGACCTTTATTCCTAAGAAGGAGGAAGCAATCCTGGCAAGTTGCAGATCAGCAACCAGAGCAACGGAGACCTTGCCATCACCACTCTACAAGATATCCCACCTGATTATAGCTGCATGAAGGTGAAGCTAGTGTGGTCTTTGGGGCACAAGAATGTCCTACAAAGGAGGCATCTCAGGGGATGCTGTGTATGTGAAGGGTAGAGGGTGGAGGGGTTCCCAAGGACAAGACAACAGTGGCTGTTGCACAACCTTGCTGGTTGTCAAAGCAAGCAAAGCTGTTGAATCTTTCTGCGAGATTTGTCCCTGTTTATCAAAGGAGAAAAAGAGTCCTTTCTGGCTGGGCCCCAGGCCCACTGCTTGATCAAAAAGGCTTTCCCTGAAGCCACCCACTTTGGGTGTTCTTGACTTCTGCCCACCTACATTCCCTGGAATAGGCTTGTCCTCGGTGCAGTGGGCACCCTCCTGAGATCCTCTCAGCTGGCGCTTGCCCCCAAGTTCAAAGGAACAATTAACAACACGAGTTCCCACTACCTATGACCACCATGTTGGAAGGTGGGACACAGAGTCCTCCTCCTTCAACGATGTTACAGGGAGACCTGTGGTCATCTCAACCAGCCCGTCTCTCCCCCAACATGCAACGCCACCAGCTCCTGGTGATCCTACCCGGGATGGGACGGTTCTCACCCTCCTCCTATGTCCTCTGTAGAGGGCAGAGATCCCAGCTGTTGGACTCGAAGAAAATGACTTAACCTCTTAGCCTGTTACTTCAGCCACAAAATTGTTAAAGGGCCTTCTACCGCATAGGGTCATTCCCTGATTCTGTTAAAATGATACTCATGAAATGACCCCTGGCGTTTACTTTTTACTGACTCTGAATTGCCTTCCAGACACATCTCTCTCTAGACCAAGGAGATTACATCCCCCAAAGCTGGGGGCTGGCACAACGATACCCCAAATCACTTGCTGGCTATGGTCCCAGCCAGAGGGCTTGGATGAACAGGCAGAGCCAAAGGCTGGTGGACACTACGAACACTCTACTTGAGAAACTTCCAGCCAAGAGAGAAGGGGACACAGGCAGAGTCCTGGCTCTTGGTGGGCAAAGCAAGGCCCTGGGCAGGGGGACAGGGGGGAATGGTGCTAACTGGGGCTGCTGCCCCAACCACTGGAGTGGAAATGCCTCAACACGCCCACTGTGTCCCAAGGTCAGAGGCATAACAATTGGGTCTTTGTTACAGAGTTCAAAAGCCTCACTCACCACTCCTCCCAAAGCCAGCTTACAGGATGCACAACACGCCTCCCCTCCCCCACCTCAGCCACCCAGCTTCCTTGAAGTGGGACACCACTGTCCCAAGGATCTGCAGTTTGGTCCTTCTGCTTTCTCCTCTCCACCCACTTAGATTCTCTAGTTAAACTGGTTGTATACTCCAGGCCTCCCGGTTTCTGACAGCAATGGACAGTGTGGGTTTGCATGGTGGACATAGCACTCCAAGGTCCCTGTGCAGACATCTGCTGCTAAGCAGTAATCTCCACCAAGAATAAAGACACAAAAGTCCTAGAGAAGTCAAAAAGCCACCTCAAGGGAGGCTCTCTACCAGACACCTAGGGCCCTACACAGTCTCCCAGCCACAGAGTTCAGACCTGGGAGAGGGCTCAGGGAGGTCATTACTCCAGTTCCTGTTTCCAAACAGCCACCAAATTATCTCCATTTTACAGAAGGGATAACAGAGGCCCAGAGGAATTAAGGGATCTGAAGCTACCCAGCCTCAGCCACTGGTGGGGCAGAATCCTGCTTCTAGGGCCAGCAGCTCCCTCAGAGGGGGTGTGTGTCAGATTGGACTGCTCTGGGGAGTCAGGCTGCTGGAGCCCCCCTCACACAGCCATCGGGACTCCTCAGAAGAGGAGGTGCCTCTACACTTTTTCCAGGTGCGCTCTCCCCCAGGGCTAGGCAGGGCTTCCAAGCATTCCTAGGGTCCTGAGTGTGGGATGGGAAGGTAGAGGGAGGATGTCTGCCCCTGGGAATCAGTCTCGAGCATGTGGACTTCCTTTTGTGTGGGGGTCTTCCCCATCCTGGCCAGTGGCTGGTGTGCAGAAACATGGGGGCTCACTCCTCCTGCTGGGCTATATAGCCGTACTGGTGACACAGGCAGGTGAAATGGCACAAGGCTCCCTAAGCCAGAACTCTATTTCTGAGCAGCCCTGACCCTATGTAGAGAAGTGGGCCCATTTTTCCCCTTGGAGCAAGCTCCAGAAACATCTGTCTCAGCTGCTGCCTCCAATTCTACCACAAGAGATCCCTTCCTTTGGCTCTCGAGGTACTCAGGGTTTCCAGAGCCAGGCCCCTGTGACAATGCCTGCTTCCCTGGGGCAGGCATGGGAAGTGGGGCTGGGGAGGTAGGCCTGGTACTGTGACAAAGGCTGAAGACAAAACCTATGCAGGAAAGAGACCAGTGTGGGCACCTGGGGGTGAAAGGCTCACGCCTTAAGCTAGGGGTGTAGCTCCACGGGGTGGGGAATGCCACTGCCAACCACCTTGCCAATGACACCAGGTACAATGACAAAGCCTGACCTCTCTGAAGGGTCTGTGAAGACCCCAGACCCAGGAGGGCCAGGAGTCAGACCTGTGCTAGTATCACAGGTCTGTTCTCAAGGGAGCACAGTTCCTGAGCCTCCTGCAGCAGGAAGCTGAGCTCACCTCCCCCAGGAGGCCTGCTGGGATTTCCTCAGCATCTCTACAGCTACTTGCTGCCCATAGGCATAGGAATCGGGGACCTGGGAATGCCCCCATTCTGTTCTGCTTTTGCCCTGAGGTCACTCACTAACTCACTTCCCCACAGTCCATCTGTGCCTCAGTTACTCTGTCTACAGAGGGAGTACAGTCACCGTTTGGTCGACCTTCCTTTCAGGGTTCAAAATATTGGAAGGGAAGGGAGTCGGACAGGAAAAGGAAAACAGGCCCCTCCCCTCTGGGAGTGTCCAAATACAGCCCAAAGAGGATCCTGTGCAAGGGACCTTCCCTGGCAGCTAACTGAAACCAAAACAAAACACCCTAGGAACCAACTGAAGCCCCAGCAGGATATGGGGAAACCGCTAATGGATGTCCCGGCCCTGCCCCTCAGACAGACCCAGGCCCTCCCTTTTTCCACCTGCAGAGATGTCTGCTGCCAAGGGCACCAAGGCACTTGTGTTCACCTGGTGAGAACCGTGCAACCAGGGGCCCCAGATAGCCATCGGCAGGTCCCGGATGAGACAAAGCCTCAGCTTGCAAGGACAGGGCGACTGCTGTGGGGCCCTCCCTGGCTCCCTTATCCCCTTGCCTGGGCCTTCTTCCCAGGTCCTGGCAGCCGTCAGCTCTGCACGGGCAGTCAGCTCTCCACCCGGACACTAGCCAACCCCCACAGGCCTGGCCTTTCCTCAGACAAGGCGCCAGGGGCCCAAGAACCCTGGCCCTTACAGTGACGTCGTGGCCTGCTTTCCCCACCAGAGAGTCAGCGGCCACAGAGCCCAGTCTTTTTGCCTGGACCCTGGCTTGGACGATGGTGCCAACAGGGGACGCTGCCCTAAGGTGCCCCCGAGCTGGGAGCTACCTTTCCTGTGGCCTCAGTGGGCACGGGGACCCTGAAAAGAGGCTGGGAACCTTGCACCGGCGGCTGCCACCCTGCCCTTGCATGCACACAAGCCGGTTAATTTCCCCGAGCTGGAGAGACATTCTTCCACCACCAGGCAAAGTGCTGGCCTGCAGCCCAAACCAACAGGGGAAACTTCAGCCTCCTCGGCCCTCTCCCCACCAGATGGAAATAACGTACAGCTGCAGAGGTGGGGGAGGAGGTAGGGAACAAAACCAGCCAACCGTCAGTCCGTCTGTCTGTCTGTCTGTCTGTCTGTCCGTCCATCCGTCCATCCGTCCCGGGAGCCAGCGCGGCCGTCTGGGCACTCACCGCTTTCGTTCTTCTCGATGACATCCACCACCTCCCCGGCCTGCAGGCTCAGCTCCGAGTTCTCCTGCTTCTTATAGTTGGACACCACCACGTACTGTTCCAGGATCATGGGCTCGGCGTTGGTGTCGGCACCTGGCGAAGGCAGAAAGCACGCGGTGAGCCAGCGGCCGGCCATGGCCCCGCGGCCGGGGCGCCCCCTGTCCATCGGCCTCGGGGGAGGCTGTTCCGTCGCCAGCGCCGCTGCCGCTCCAAGGGGCCGCCCACAGCCAGGGCTCGCAGCTCTCCGGGCCCCAAGGACAGGCCATATAGCAAGGCCCCACACCGGCCCGCTGCGCCGCGGGGACCGGGGGACATGGGGAGCCGGGCCGGAGTGGAGGGGGGGGACAGCCGGGGACGAGCGGAGGCCCTGGAAACTCAGAGGAAGAGCCTGCCGCTGCGATGAGTCAGTCACAGCCCGGCACGAGCGAGCAGCAGGAGAGGCCTGGTGCGGACGTGGTCTCCCCAGACCCCTCGGCCGGCAGGGGCGGGACGGGAGGGCCGCCCATGAGGGCTGAGGCCGAGCAGAGCAGAGGGAGAAAGGCAAGGCAAGGAGGAGGGCTCGTGCCTCTCCCCCAGCCCCTGTGAACCCAGAGAAAAAGAGAGGCAGCGGTCCTCCCCTCGGGAGGGAGAGGGAGCGAGCAGGAGAGAAGTCTCCACAGCCCGGGCCCAGGCGAGAAGTCAAGAGGGTTTGAGGCCGCCAATCACTGGGGTTTACTCGCAACCCTTAAATAGAAACACATGAGACCCATCGAATGAGGAGCCAGGGGTGGAGGCAGGGGAGGGGGAGGAGGGCCGAGACTGTTTACTTGAAACCCAAGAAGAAAGTCCCAGCGCCAGCAGCCGGTGAGCCCAGCCCGCCCCCTGCCAGCTTTTCCTCAAGTTCGGCTCCGTCTGCCCCTCGGCTCACCAAGGCGCTGCCACAGAGCCCAAGGGCCTGGTGCAGACAGACCAGTCTTAGGCCTGCTTCACTCCGGCCACATGCAGACTGATTCAGTCTCCCTCTGTCTTTTAGGGCTGGGCCTTGTGGTCAGGCTCCAGGAAGCCTCCAGCCACCCTCTCTGGCAGTTGAGGGGGTCAAAAGGTGGGGCTCTGCAAAAGGAGGGCAGGAGGGCTGGAGCTCCCAGGAGCAAGCAACTTCTCTGTCCCTCTCAGTCAGCAGACCAGTGCAATATTCATTAAGCAAGCACCAGGCTGAAAGGTGGACAGACTGGGTGCCCGTCTTGGCTTCCTGGCTGTGTGGCAGTGGACATGCTGCTTAAACCTCTCCATATCTCACTATTTCCATCACCACCACTAGGGGTGGAGGTGCAGACGAAACGCCTAAAACAGGACCTGCCCTGCCAGGAGCTGAAAGGATCCACAAACCAGAGACCTATTGGTTACCTCCTACAGGAAGCCTTCCCAGACCACCCCCAGCCCAAAGGGAATGTCTAGCACACTTTAACTATGTATCTACCATCCTATATACCTGCCAATCTCCTGGAAGGCTGGGGAATTCACACCACCTGCAAGGCTACAGTAATGGCTGAGGGCCCCTGGGTCCCATATGGTTCCCTGATGCTTTAGCCTACAGCCACATTCGTTACACACCTGAGTCTAACTTGGCAAACGTTCTGTGTCAGGCATGGACACTGTCCCATTTTATCCTTTTCACCTTCCCATTTCACAAAAGACAACCCAGTGGCCCAGAGAGGACAAGACACTTGCCTTAGCTCACACAGCTGCCATGGAGAGAACCAAACAGTGTTTCAGGTTCAAGCCCATCTCTCTTTCCATTACAGAATGGCCGCTGATTTCTATTTCTAGACACCCATTCTTCTAACACAATGATCCTCAACTTGGTCCCACAAAATTGCCCGGGGAGCTTTTAAAGAATACTGATGCCTGGGTCTCACTTCCAGAGGTCCAGCTTTAATTGGTCTGGGGCATTTTTTAGAACCCCCTCCTCTCCCATGGTTCCCGTGCACGGCCAGGGGAGAGAAGCACTGCTTAGACCTTTGGGTCTTTCTATGAAGAAGGCTCCATCCAACCCAGGGCGGGGAGCAATGGAAGGAAAGAAACCCACTACCCCTGGTGGTTTCCTCCCATAGGGTGCAGGCCCTACAGCCCCAGCTCGGCCCTTTGGAGACCAGGAAGGGACCCTGTCCCTGCCGAGCCCTGCCACATGGATGTGTACATGCACAGCTCTACTAAAGCCAGGATTGTATTTCAGGCAGAAATGCGACCAACAGCTGGGCAGCAGGGCCAACCCATTCTGCACTCAGATGGGGCCAGCCTTTGAGCCTGTCCCTTCCCACCAGGCATGGTGCTGACAGAGGCTCCCTCCCACTGTGCCCCTGGGGGGACACCAGTGCCCCTGTGGCCAAGAGCACTTCTTCAGTGCACCCAACACAAAAAGGGCCAGCCCCTGCCCTGTGAGACACAGGGGCTCCCCTTCCAGTTTGTGGGAAAGAAAAACTCCCGATACAAACAGAAAAGAGGAGTTCCCAGAGGCTTAGAGAGCTTCCAAATCCCAAGAGCCCAGATTATACTGACAATTAACAGCAGGCCCTCAGTGCTCACTCACGGTCAGCACTATGCCAAGCACCTGACTGCATCATTTTGCCCTCTCACTGGATCCTCACAACAACTCTATGTGGTAGGATCTGTCAAAGACCCATTTTACACATAGGCAGACTGAGGCTCATGAAGGTAAGCAATTTTCCTAAGGTCACACAGTTGGGACTTGAACCCAAGCTCACCAGACACGGTCTCTTGTGTTCTGAACTTCTCTACCATTTGCCACCTACAGACTGCCACTGATCCTCGGTTTCCAAAGGGACCCTGCCTCACCCTATCTTCACACACCTGGCACAAGGTTGGTGTTTAATAGAGACTGGAGTGTGGGTTCCTCGTTGACTGCTGCTACATCTGTTGGGCAGACCACAGGGTCCATCAGGTAGCAGGCATTCAGCAAGTGTTTGCAAAATGAATGAATGAAATGAACAAATGGGCGGAGATAGGAACAGAGTGATTTAGTGGTTTGTTTTGAGCCAATACAGATAAACCAGGCAAGGCCTCACCTCTGAAATTCAGGGAAGCTAGACAACCATGTAAAGGAAAAAGGGTAGATGGGGAAACAGAGGACAGAGGAGCAAGGAGTGACGAGCTTGTGGCCAGAAGCTGCTAGAGAGGACAAGCAGGGGTGATGGGGAATGGAGAGACTTCAGCTTATTTTAATCCAAGCCAAGGAAATCTGAGGCAAGATTTCAAAGAGGGGAAAAATTCTGCCCCCCTCCCCCCAACCCCTTGGAAAATTGGCCTAAGCTTTCTGAAGACTGACATTTTGGGACACAGGTAGAAAAGTTAAGAGAATGTTCTCCAGGGTTTCCAGAGCACAAGAAGACAGGCGATGGCACTTCCTGGAAGCTAGTCCAAAGGCTGTGGGATGGACAGATGGACACACAGACACTCTGCGCTCCTGGCTGCTCTCCCCTCCCCCAGCACATGCAGGCTCCCAGCTCACTCTGGCATCTGCCTCTTAGGGTGTTGCCTGCCCAGGGCTGCCTGGGCAGGCATGAGCTGGGAGCAGGTATCCAGATGAGAAACCACTCGGCAGGCGGGCCGGTGGGTGATGTCATCCCACAAAGGCTGCTTTGGATCCCCTCCCAGCCAAGGCCTGGAAAATTGGGGGCTGGAGAAGTCGGCCCAAAGGAGGAGGAAGGGCAGGGGCAGTGGATGGAGCCTCTGGTCTTTAGATGGGAAGGGTTTGACAGAAGCATGGTGAAGGGGTGTACTTCTTCTTCTAGAGAGAGAGCCTTTCCCAGGTTGGAAGGGGACTTTGCAACAGTCTCATCCAGGGATGGGCCCCTTGTTATTCAGAGCCCCTAGCTGGATCTGCTAGGGCTCTGGCAGTTCCCTGGAGCCCTGCCTCACACCTGCATTCCTCCTACTACCACCTGGATGGACCCCTGGCTCTTGCCTGATCCTCGCTGCCAACTTAAACTTCTAAATGAGGCTTTTGCCAAGTCAGTCCTCTGCTCCAACACCTTCAATGGGTCCCTGTTGCCTCCAGAATAAAGGCCAAATTCAAGCTCAGTCTTTCTGACAATTTGAGTCTCCCAAGTTCCCTGACACATAACTGCCCCCCCGCCCCGGGCCATCCCAGGCAACATTCATGATTCAATACACGTATACTGAGGGCACTGTGTGCCCACCGCACTGCTTTATGTAGGTTTTTACTTCCAAGCCTTTGCCTTAGCTCTTCTCCCTGCCTGGAATGCCTTCCCTTCTTCTACCAACTCCAATTCTACCTAACCATCTCTGACCCTCCAGGAGTCACCTGATTTTTCCAGCTGCAGCGTTCACTCCTGTCCTCTGCTGGATTTCTTGTGGGGCACTGTGCCCCAATCAGACTGTGTGCTTTAGACCAGAGTCTCCCTGATGAGAGTACATGCCCAGGACTGGCACTGGCCTCAACTGCCTGAAATTCATGATGTGAAAGCATAAAATTCGAGTCTGAGATCCAGTCCTGCTTTGCCCTTACTAGCTCTGTGACCCTGGGGAAGACACTTAACCTCTCTGAGCTTTAGCTTCCTCATTTGTAAACAGGTACAGTACAAGTACCTACCTCAATGGGCTGTTCTGCGCATGGAATGAGGTGACAAGATTAATGTCCTAAGTAAACTACAGACAGTGTTTATAAAACAAACAGGAAATGGGATATTTGGGGGGAAGCGGGACGGTTTCAGATTCCCCTGCAGCCTCAGAATCAGCAGGTGGCTCAGGGCAAGGGCCACACGTGCCAGGAAAAGGGTGGCTGTGGTTGTGTCCCTGAAACACGCCTCTGTCCAACCCCACCTCCAGGCAAGCACTGTTTACTTGCCAGCTAGAGACCGGGTCTGAGCCCCCTGGGCCCACTCTGGGGGAGATGCCAGGCTATGCAGCCCGAGGAATCTTACCTACAAGGATCCCCCACATCTGCCCCTTACTGTCTCATGTACTCTCTGACATTCCAGGTGGGGAAACCAAGGCCCAGAGAAAGCTGGCAACTTGCCCAAGACTCCAGCCCTGAACTCCAAGTCTGGCTGGTTTTTCCCAGCCCACACTGCTTCCCCTCAGCTTCTCACTCCAAACAGCTGGGCTCATCCTGAGAAGCCAAGCCCTGTGATAGCCCCCACCCCAGGCTCCCCATGTTGTCCTTGAC